AAAAAATCACCAGTGTGGTTTCTTATGAGAAACAGAGTCACGGTTTGTCCCTGCTGGCAGCCCCAAGCCCCCCAGGCAGCAGCAGCAGGGCCAGAGCCCACCGGGGCTGGGAGCTCCACGTGTGGCCAAGGAGCTGTGTCCATCTCCCGCTGCCACCTGCAGCAGGTAAATCCCAGAAAGCCAGAAATGACTTGAGGGATGGTCTTGGAGGACAAGCTGGTGGCTCTTCTGCTGCGTGTGCGTATGCGCGGGTAGGGCTGGAAATTACTGTACAAATCAATTCCGAAACTGAGAGGCGGATGTGGGATGTTTTAAACCTGCCTCCATTCAAATCTGCTGCTGAAGAGTCACAACAAAACTTCATTAACAAAACATGATACCGGGCCCTGGTCCTCCTCCCGTCCCCCAGTTCCTGCTGCAGGACAGCTCCGCTGACGGGAAAGAGATTTTTAATTTGCGCCAGCGTAAGGCAGTGGAGAAGGCTGGCTGTGATCTCTACAAAGGCATCAGCATCCTCTCCTTAGGGATTCCCGGGCTCACAGCTAATTCCCCGGCAGCCTGCACAAGAGGCAGACCAGCTCCTGTCCTACAGCCCCGGGGCCCAGCACGCCTTTCTGACTGCTCCTCGGGAGTTTCTGCCTCCTTCCCGCAAAACCAGACCCCGGATCGGTAAATGGGGTGCCGTGAGAGCGGAGAACCTGGGAACCTGGCCCCTTTTTGTCTCATTTGTGGCTGCTCACCAGAGGCACAGGTTAATGCTCAGCTCTGCTCTCCAAAGAAGCCTCTCGCAGCTGGCAGGAGCCCAGCAGGAGCCCGGTATTGCCAGGCACCGTGTGAGCTCCGCTCCTCTTCCAGCCCATCGCGTCCTGCGCAGGGAGCAGCACCCGGAATCCGAGCCCCTTCTGCAGCTCTCCCTGCGATTTTGGCTAATGCAAGATCAGTCCTCAAGCAGCCAAAATGGTTTCTCTGCTACACTTTTAAGGGAATGCTGCAGTTTTAAACCACAAATTAAATTTTTAATGAAACTTCATAACTGTTGTACCCAAATGTAATGTAATATTGATAGGAGCTGTGCATCCAGCTAGCATGAGATTGCCCTAGAAAGCTTTTTAGGATGTTATGCAATATATAGCTAAATTAATTATTTGCAATGAAAGGACCTATGTCCCTATAGCATCACTGAGACATACCAGTACGGAGAACACACTTTTCATTCTCACTGGCTGTAAATGTCAGGCAATTTAGAAGGAAACTGACTTTTGAGATGGGAAGAACAAAAGAAAGGGAAGGAAAAAAGGGGAGAGATCGAATGTGTGAGTGAGAGAGGGAGAGAAACAGAGAGGGAGAGATCTGCAAAGAAAGACTGCAGCAAAATGCAGCAAATTTCAGAACTCCAGTCCAAAGTGTTTGCCTGCTACAGGAGGGAATACTCTGCCTTACAAACAGTGCGTTTGCACTAGCTGCACACCATGCTCAGGCTGTTCTAATGAGATCTGTAAATTTTTGAAGGCATTAGAAAAAGCAAAAATTTTGCATATATTCTCCAGACCTAACCCCGGAGCAGCTCAGAGGTGTGTGCTCATTTCAGGCTTCTCGTCTGGCTGCACAAGGAGAAGGGCTTTGGGAAGCACCCTGCTCCCGCGGCACCCACGCGGACAGCGGTGTGACCAGAGGTCCTGTCCTTGCTGTGCCCCCCCAAAAAATAAACACAATCCCTGGTATTAAAAACCAGCCTCATTCCACTGCCATGTCCTGCCCTAAGCACTCTGGGGTTGGGGGTGCAGCCAGGAGTGGGGCTGCAGGGGGTGGTCCCCGGGGGCCCCAAAGGCACAGCCAGCAGCTCGGCTGCCCAGCAGCTGCAGGCATGAACGGGAGGAGCTGGGTTTCTCGCTCAGTGAAGTCTTCCCATTACTGTTTCCCATTGCAAAGCTGTCTCCATCCCATAATGGATCATATTGCTCCCACTGCACAGCGGAGACTTAACTGCGGAATCAGCGTTCCCCACAGGAGAATGGTTTGTGTACAGCAGGCTTCAAAACAGGAGAAAGCTTCCACTCCCTGCTCCCCAGGGCTCCGGCTCCTGGGATTAAAGAGATTTGTCCACTTTAAAAATGTCCTTTACGCATTTGTAGCTCTGCTGTGCTTACACAAAGGTTAGCTTTGGACAGATTGAATATTTACGTACTGCACCTCTGCACTGGACAACTGGCCAAGGGCACCGGAGAGCCAGGGCTCCTGGTCCCTGGGGGGAGCACCCTGGGCCACCCAAAATTATACGTGTCCATCATGAATACAAATGCGCCTGCTGGCTCCTGTTCAGAACTAAATCATCTCCAAGGGTCCCTGATAGCTGCGCTCAGCTCTTTTCATCTACAGAGCAATAAATCAGCCAGCTACAGAGAACGCTTTAGAAGAGGCGAGAAAGGAGTTAAAAATAATAGGGGCTCCATTATTCCATTATACCCATACAGCTCCTAAATCTGCAAAAGCAATAACAGATCCTACTGCATGATTCAGTGATTCTGGAAAAGCTGAAATCTTGATCATATTTTCTCGTTCTTTCTTCACATTAGGAGACACGGGGGTTATTTTGCTTATCTATTGTAGTGCAGCTTTGTTGTTTTTTCCTATCTAGGTATTTATACGGTCTCCATCACCATAGTATCGGAGTGTTTATTTTACTGCACCTGTCACCTTGGTCTCATCTCAGCATAATGTACCGTGGATGACAAAAGATTCCCAGTTAAATTGGTTCAGTGACACGAGCAGCTTTGTCAATACCATGCAGATGTTAACAGCAGTGGGTACCAATTCAGCTGCCTCTAAGACCAGTTTACACTGGTGTAATCGCATTGCCTGCATTAACATTATTTTTAGTTTGCATTCCTGCCTGTGGCAGAAGAATTAGACCTGCAGTCTTTTCAGCCTTTTCCACAGCATCCCCTATTCCAAGGGAAAAAAAAAAAAAAAAAAAAAAAAGAAAAGAAAACAGCACAGAAAGGGAGAGCGGCCCAGAAAACCTCCCCTGCCTGTCCCCCTCCTTCACTCGCCTCTGCTCCAGTCTTGTTGCAGCCAAATGCTGTATGGCGCAGAGAGCAAAGAAGAGGAGAAGTAACCAGTGCAATAAAGGCAGAAGTGAAGAACCCCGGGGGGAAATGCAGACTTCTCCCCAGCAGGTCCTGAATCAAAGCACACAGCACCAGAGGTGAGCTCCTCCTGGGCTTTATGGCCCTGAACTGCTGAGCAGGGGCAGGACCAGGTCACGAGCAGAAGCCTCAGGAAGGACCACAAGGCTCTGGGACCCCACAGTCCACAAAGCCATGAAAGCATTGAGACAGTTTTGACAATGAAAGTGCCCCAGGAGCCCAGTGCAGCCACTGCAGAACCGCTGGCGCCTTCCCAGGCTTCGTGGCCACTTTGTCCCAGTGCTGCACCCAGTTCCGCGGGCTGGGCATCACTTATCGTGCCCAACCGAGGCAGAGGAGGGGATTTGACAGCTTTGCCATATGCTTTCCTCTGTGCCCAGCAGCCTCAAGCCTCTGGGTTTGGCCGTGAAATGCTGCTTTAGCTGTAACCTGCAGAGTCCTGCTGGAGGAGGAGCGCACCTCCCCAGGGCAGCTGAGAAAGCCTGCGAGAAGGAAGCGAAGGAAGCGCTGTGTGCCACGGTGGTGTGTCATAAAACTCTCGGGGCTAGGTAAACGCCTGCAACAGAAAAGGCACCAAACTGAGTCACCGGGCTGCAAACGGTGCCCGTGTGCGCCAGCTCCTGGGGAGCGCTCATCAGGTCTGAGCTCCAGGGTGAAGAGTGGAAAGGGCCACAGAGGGGCTCCTCTGCAGCTCCACAGCCAGACCTGGTGTTCTACTGACCCACCTCGCTAGTAAACAAACTGCTTCACTTTTCGCAGCAGAACTTGGCGTTATGTAAATACTCCAGCCACACGGGCTGCTGCAGTGCAGAGCGTTGGGGCAGGCGGCGAGCTGGGCCGGGGGGTCCGAGGTCACGGCTGGTGGAGCAGCAGCACGCCGCCCCAGCACCTCCAACACCACAGAGCGGGGGCACGGCTAAAACCAGCGGGGGGGACAGGGCCGGGGGCTGGGGCTGGGGCTGGGGGCCCCGCAGAGCTCAGAGTTCCCGGCCCCCCCGGCTCCAAGGGGTGAACCTCGAGCCGCCGAGGGCCGTGCGCTGGAGGTGAGGAAGGCGGCGGTCCTGGTGGCAGCTGCAAGGACGGATCCAAACGGCACCTGCGGAGGATTTTTTCCTGCTTAAAACGAAGAGAAGCGAGCGCCTTCCCTCACCCACAGGTCCCAGACCCACAGCAGCGCCGCGGCTCCAGCCCAGGACCGGGGGGGTCGCGGCGCCCCGACCTCCCCCGGCGCCCTTCTGCCCCCCGAGCCCCCAGCGGGGACCTGCCGGGCACCGGGGAGGGGGGGGAAGGCGGCGAGGGGCCGCTTCGCTGAGCCGCGAGCAGCGGGGCCGGGGCCGTGCCGCTCCCCACGGCGGCCCCGAGGTCCGCGCCCCCCCCGCGGCTCCTCGCCACGGCCACGGCGAGCCCGCGGGGCCCCCCCGGCGGCGGCCCGGGGAAGCGCCGCTCCGGGCAGCCCCGGCCCCGGGCGCGCTGCTCGCGGGGACGGGCGGCAACCGGGGACCCCCGGGCGGCAACCGGGGACCCCCGGACCAAAGCCGGGCACCCCCGCAGCACGGGCGGGCGCCCACGGCCACGCACCCACGGCCCGGGAGCCCCCCGTACGCCCCCCCCCGGCACCCCCGCAGGTGCCCGCTGCGGCTCCTCCGTGCGCCCCCGCTCCGCTCCGGCCCCCGCACGCTGCCGCTGCCGCTCCCACCCGCTCACATTCACACTCACACTCACGGCCACACTCACACGCTCCCCCTCCCTCACGCCCACCCCCGCGGGACCCCCCCCCCCCGCCGGGCGGCCGGGATTCCACGCGCCGTGACGTCAGGGCTCGCGGCCCCGCCCGGGCGCTATAAGAGGGGCCGCGTGCCGCAGTGGGCCCGGCGGAGAGCGGCGGAGCCGGCCCCGCACCAGCCCCGCACCCGGCCCCGCCATGGCCGCGGCGCTGCCCGCAGGGGTCCCGCTGCTGCTGGCGCTGCTGCTGGCGCCCCGCGGCCGGGCGCAGAGCTTCGGGCAGACCCGCTTCGTCTGCACCTCGGTGCCGCTGGACGGGGACGTGTGCGCCGCCACCCCGCCGGGAGCCGGTTCGGCCGAGGAGCTGAAGAGCACGGTGCTGCAGCTGCGGGAGACGGTGCTGCAGCAGAAGGAGACCATCATGAACCAGAAGGAGACGATCCGCGAGCTGACGGCCAAGCTGGGCAGGTGCGAGAGCCAGAGCGTGCTGGACGCGCTGCCCGGAGAGTCCAAGGGCGGCGGGGCCGGCAGGAGGCAGCCCGGCTTCAACAAGAACACCATGGGGGACCTGTCCCGGGCACCGGCCGCGGAGACCCTGAGCCAGCTGGGACAGACCCTGCAGACCCTCAAGACCCGCCTGGAGAACCTGGAGGTACGCGGCCCGGCCCGGCCCGGCACGGCTCGGCTCGTCCCCGTCCCGCCGGCGGCCCCCGGGGCGCGGAGCCGGGCGGTAAGTGCGGCGGTAACGGCCCCGCTCCCCTGTTCGCTCCTTGCAGCAGTTCAGCAGGATGAACTCCTCCGGCCAGACCACCAACCTGAAGGACATACTGCAGAATAAAATCGACGACCTGGAGAAGCAGGTCCTGTCCCGGGTGAACAGCCTGGAGGAAGGCAAGTTCAACCCCAAGAACGAGTCCGAGGAACGGGGCAAGATCGAGAGCACCCTCACGTCGCTGCACCAGCGCATCAGCGACCTGGAGAAAGGTACCGGCCGCTCCTCCGCCCCGAGCCCCCGGCCGCTGCCCGCGGGACCCCCCCCCGGTGCCCACCCGGTGCCCACCCGGTGCCCGGCGGCAGGAGCCGGGGGCGCTGCGGGCGCTGCCGTGCCGGGGATTATGGCCCGAGCGGAGCCGTGCCGGAGGGATTTGTTCCTCGCTGCCGTCTCAAGGCCCGTTGCATAACGGGGTGGGGAGGGGGGCAGATTTTTCCGTCCCCCCCTCAGCGGGTAGCGGGGGGTCCCAGCACGCCTCCGCCCCGCAGGCCAGAAGGACAACCGGCCCCCGGACAGGTTCCAGCTCACCTTCCCGCTGCGCACCAACTACATGTACGCCAAGGTGAAGAAGAGCCTGCCCGAGATGTACGCCTTCAGCGTCTGCATGTGGATCAAATCCAGCGCCTCCCCCGGCATGGGCACCCCCTTCTCCTACGCCGTGCCTGGGCAGGCCAACGAGCTGGTGCTCATCGAGTGGGGCAACAACCCCATGGAGATCCTCATCAATGACAAGGTACGGCACCGGGGGGGGGTACGGCACCGGGGGGCTGGCTGGGAGGGGAGGGGGGAGGCTGGCATCGTGGGGAGGGGGGACCGTCACCGCCCTGACCCCCACCCCTAGGTGGCCAAGCTGCCCTTTGTCATCAACGACGGCAAGTGGCACCACATCTGCGTCACCTGGACCACGCGGGACGGCGTGTGGGAGGCCTACCAGGACGGCACGCAGACGGGCAGCGGCGAGAACCTGGCACCCTACCACCCCATCAAACCCCAGGGCGTCCTGGTGCTGGGCCAGGAGCAGGTAAGGGCCCGGCGGAGGGGTGGGCGCGGGGCTCTGAGCCCTGCCGGGTACCCCCCATCTCCTCCAGCCCTGACAGCCGCCACCCCCGCAGGACACGCTGGGCGGTGGGTTCGACGCCACGCAGGCCTTCGTGGGGGAGTTGGCCCACTTCAACGTGTGGGACCGTAAGCTGAGCCCCGGCGAGGTGTACGGCCTGGCCACCTGCAGCAGCAAGGCTCTTTCGGGAAACGTCATCGCCTGGGCCGAGGCCAACATCGACATCTACGGCGGGGCCACCAAGTGGACTTTCGAGGCCTGCCGCCAGCTCAACTAGGGCCACGGACAAGCGAGAGAAGCCTCCTCATTGGGTTCTTTTATTTATTTTTGTTTTCCTCCTTTTTTTTTTTCTTTTCGTTTTTTTTTTTTTTTTTTGCGCAAAAACAACTGAGAACGAAGCCACGGGGCTGCCCGCCCCCGGAGCCCCACGACCGTCTGGTTTCTGTCTTGCCAACGTCCTTCAACGCCTGCGTGCCTTGGCCTGGCGCGGCTGCGCCCCGTCCTGCCCCCCTGTCCCCCCCCCCTGGATCCGGCTCCCCGCTTCGCCCGGCCCCGCTCCAGCCCCGGGCATCATCGCCTTAAAGGCTGCGGCGGAGCGGGGCTCCTCTCCCTGCAGCCCCCCGGGGGGGGCAGCACTCCGGAGCCAGTGGAGGACTGCAGCCCCCCCAATCCGCTTGTGCTCCCCCCCAGGGCCCCTCGCCACCCCTGGAGCTGGGGCTCTGAGGTGGCGAGGACCCCCCCCCCATTTTCCTTCCAGCCCCGGGAGGGGCAAAACCTGTGCCCCCCCTGGTTGTCACCGCTCCCCCAGCACCACAGCCATAGCCCCGGGCTGCGGGGCAGGAGCGGGGCCCCCCCAGCCCCCTCGCTCCCCGACCTGCCTCACTCAGGTACGTGCTCCCGGCCGCTGCCTGCAGCCCCCAAGGCCTCCTCCGCGCCGTAGCTGGTGAAAAAATAGCCTTTACCGTCCCCGGGAAGGTTAGCTACCACTGAGAAGTCTGAAGCCTTTCTGCTTTTGATAATACAATATATTGTTTCTCTTACTGTAAAAGGAAGTTTATTACCAATAATAAAAAAAAAAAAGGTATTTTTATGAAGAAAAAAAAAAAAGATTATAGAATTAAGCAGTGCTCCCTGAGAAAAAGTACTTTGAGATTCTGCAGGAAAAAAAAAAAAAAAGAGATAAAGAAGCGTATTTTGAAATAAATGCATTTTGTATGGTTTCCTTTTCTAAACTCCTGGTTTGTACTACAGATTGCAGAAATCACCCCGCAGCCCCCCCCGCTGAACCCTCCCCGGGGCAGTGGGGGACGAGGCCGAGAATTCCCACAGGGCTCCGGAGCCGCCCCGACCACCTCCAGCGACGGCAAAATCGGCGACGCGGACGGGGCCGAGGCTGACGCTGGTGAGGAGCACAGGGCAGCGACACGCACACCAGATCGAGTTCCCTTGGTACGAACTGCGGCTCAGGGCAGCGTCTTTTAACTGTGCTCTTTTTAAAAAAAAAAACCATCTCGAGTTAATTTGAGTTGCTCTCAAGAACCTGTCCCCGTCAGCAACGCGCCAAGCACAACCTGCTGAGAACGAGACCGCCGAAAGGGTTGAAGCTCGGGTCCCGCTCGCGTCTGATCTGCCAAAAAAAAGGGTGTGATACCAACGCAGTGTACATAGTGTATAGTAGGGGAGAGAGTAAGTGTATCTCAATCTGTCGTTATTTTGCTAACCAAAGCTGTAAAATTTCCTATTACTTGCTATTGTCTCCTTTGGATTTTGAATGGGTTACGATATACTACGCATCCAGTCCGCATCAGCAGTTCTGACAATGCACTGTTTCTACTGATACTCATGCTTTTTCCATTTTATTGCCGAGATTACATGAATTGTTGACTTTATTTTTACACAATAAAGAGTGAAGAAAGACAGTGGGCTCTCTGAGGTGCTCTGTCAGCTGCCTGGGCAGCCCCTGCTCGGCTCCCCTGGGCAGGTCCCCTCTCTCTGCAGGGAAGACTTTTGGTGTACGCAGGGATTTCTGCCTGCTCCGGAGCTGTGCCGTGCCTGGGGGGCTGCCTGCACCACCTGCAGCTCCACAGCTCATCCTTCCCTGCTGTGTGCAGCACCAGCGAGCACAGCAGTGATTTTTTCTTTTTTTTCCTCATTGCTGGAAGACTCGGGCTGGAAGCCAAAGTTCCTCAGGCTCTCCGTGAAGGCGACACTCGTATCCTGCAGCGAGTGCTCCTGCAGCCCCACTGCCAGCGACCCTGGCCCCGGGGGGACCCTACAAGGCACCTGGGGTGCGGGGTGATGCTGGGGCACAGCCCCGCAGTGGCTGCCCCTGTGCCACTGAGGCTGGGACGTGGCCGTGCGGGGCAGGTGACATTATTTCCTGCTATTGCCACCCATTCCCACTTGTTGCACACCTGCTGCACACCAGGCTTGCCAGATGAGTTGCTTTTAGCACCGAAGATACAAGTAGGAAGGCTGCGGCGTGCTCCTAATAACCAGGCAGAAACAATTCCCCCCGCAGCCCACTGCAGATGGAAGGGGAGATGGATGGTGCTGCAGCCTCGGGCACCGCCAGCCCCTGGGGACACCGGCGCTCCCTTCCTTGCCCCGTAAGAGCAAGGAGGAGGTGGCACAGCCCCAGGGGCTGCAGCTGGCTGGAGCTCTAACCACAGGAACAGACCCATCAGCGAGGGGGAAGCATCCCAGCATCACATCCCGATGTGCTGACAGTCACCACGTGGAAGGGATGGGGAAGGCAGCGAGCCAGGACCCAGGCACAGACAGGGGGCACGAGGGACCAGGGGGATGCCACGGTCCCAGCTCCATGGGGCTGGTGAGGGCACGGCCGTGGTGAGAATCCCGCAGCCTTTTGGGCTGCATCTGCACAAGCGATGGCTGCAGGCATTGCAGCCTCTGCTGCTGACTCCCCTGACCATGCACCTGGGCTCCCCGTGCCCACCTCCTCCCCCAGTGGGTGCCCCCCCACTATAAAACCTGCGTTCCCTCGGCACGCTGGCTCCTGTGGCTGCTCCGGGTCCTTTTAAGGATGCCTCAGTGTTTCAATACAGCCAGCAATAAAAAAGGTGAGGGAGTGGGAGGCTGCCTCGAACCACGCTGCAGGTCTGAGGGCATTTCTGGAGACCCAGCGTGCGTCCTGCGCCTCCAGCCAGGGGCAGAGGCAGATGCGGAATTACAGGCGCTCGGTACCCTTGGCAGGAGACCGTCAGCTTCAGGAATCCTCCTGGGGCAAAAGGTAAAACGATCCATCAAAACTGTTTTAGGGCAATTTACTGAGCCCCACGGGGGAGAGGCTGGGAGCGTAACACGCCACTCACCAGTCGCTCTTGCAGGTGATTAAAAAGAAGGCACAGATGGGCTGCCAAGGGAGCCTCAGCCAAGGCTCGTAGGTGGACAGGAGGGGGATCAGCGCGGGCACAGGAATTAAATCAGAGGAGCGATGCCAGAGGACACAGAAGGGGTGTTGAGAGCAGTGCAACCAAGGGTTTTCCCCTCCCCAGTTCCTCAGATCCCTCTGGGTGTAGAAGCGATTCAGATCAGCAGCCTGACAGCTTCACCAACACGCAGTGCTGCCACGAGTCCCGTCCCCCCCCTCGGCCCCCAGCACCCACCCCCCAACCCCCGGTTCCTGGAGCTGTGTCGATGCAGACCCCACACCTCTCCCCCCCTCCTGGGACCCAGCTGCTCCAAGGACAGGCTGCTTGGTGCCGTGGCACGGGGAGCAGCCTACATCTCTGCGAGGCGAATGCTATTTTTACTCGGCGAACAGGCGGCAGCTCCGGCATTGTTCTCCATCGCTGCCAACCCCCCAGCTCCGAGCAGGGATGTGCAGGGGGGGTGACAGTCACCCCCCAGCCACCCCCCAGTCATTCCAGCCGCTGGGATGAAATGCCAGCGCCCGCCCGCTCCTGCAGGAGAGGGGAGCGATGCTGTCAGCTGGAGCGCATGCTGCAGCGCGATTCAAACTGCAATAAAAAACCTACACTAACAGGATTTTTTTTTTTCCTCCTCCTGCCATCGCCGTGCCTGAAGCAGGGCCGCCTGGCTCACAGGGGGGGCAGCAGACGGGGAGGCTGCGGGTGCAAGAGGGGCTGGTGCAGGGGTGATGGTCACAAAGGACTGGGTGCTGGCGGAGCAGAGGCTTCCACATTGGGGGTGACAACCCCTGCTCATTGCCTCGAGACCCCACAGAAAGCCGTGGGCACTGCCCCCCCTCCATGGGGACACAGTGGTTAGGGTCACCCCTGCCCAGCCCCCCCAGCACAGCCCAGCAGCTCCGGGTGCATCCTGCGCATCCCGGTGCCCCCCGGCACCGCTGCAGCAATGCCGGCAGCGGACAGGGAGGATCCTGCGAGATGAGAGGAGCAGCACAGGCCCCTCAGTAGGATGGATGCACCAGTCCTGATGCCTCACCCTGCAGCTGGAAGCTGCTGCTGTTGGGCACGGAGCTGTTTAATGGCCCCAGGAGCCAGCCCTGCCTTGGGGGTGCTGGTGACAGCCAGCCCAGCATCCCCCAGCGCTGAGTGCAGTAAATCCAGGAGGCTTTGAGAGCAGCGGAGCAGATGGAGATCTTGGGCTGCGCGAGGACAGGCCCCACGACGTGGGGAGGTGGCTCAGAAATATTGACGGGGGCGAGGGAGAGTTCTTAAGGGCAGGATACAGCCGGGATTTACAGCTCTGATCCGACTTCTCGCTGGCAGCTCACATGGGAGGGAAACCACTCTCACGCACAGGCGCCTCGCGCCCCTCCGCCCGGCCTTTTCTCCCCACACCGTGGGCACAGCTCAGCTTTAGAGGGGTGAGAGGAGGTGACGGGCTATGTGCAGTTATATCAGAGGTGTTTCATAGCAAAACTGAACACCAGCAAGGCGGCACGGCCCAAGGCAGCCCCTTCTGCATCCATGCCCTGTGCAGGAGAGCTGGGGACGCGCAGTGCCCCTTCTGGGGTCCTCCCCCACACCTCTTGGTGCCACCTGAGGCTTCTGCTGAGATCCCAGCCCCTCTGGAAACCATCAGGGATGGGTGGGAAGGGTGGAAAGAAGAAGAACCCCCAACCAAGGATGCAGGGCAGCCACCTGCAGCGAAGCTCTGCAGCTCTGGAGGCACCCCAGAGCACCACCGTTACGCGGTGCTGACGGCGCACACTCAATAACATGTCGTTAGATTAATTAGTGCCGAGTGTGTCAGACCGTACGCCTGCTCCGTGCCGGTGTGCTGAGACACAGGACTCTTCCACCCTTCCCATCCATCCCTGATGGCTTCGTGAGAGGCCGGGAGCTCAGCAGAAGCCTCAGGCAGCACCGAGGGGTGTGGGGGAAGCTCCTCGTGCGGGGACCCCAGGAGGGGCAGCCCCAGCTCAGACACACAGAGGGGGGGGGAACAGCAGCCAGGCTCCCGCAGGAGGGTCCCCAGTGAAGCCGCGAACAGCGGAAGGAAGAACATGTCCCACAGCTGATTAAAAATAGATGCAGCATCACACTAATTATGCTGTGTAATTAGCATTTGTTTTCTGCTTATCAGAAATCCACAGGGAGCGGAGCTGGACCCCAAGCATCCCGTGGGTATCAGCCCAAGCCCCAGGCAGGGTTGGGCTGCAGCGGGGCTGGGGCCGTGCCCTGTGCTCAGCCCACCCCCGGCCCCCTGCATTGCCCCCCCCCTTGGGACCCCAGCCCCAGCAGCACGGGTCCCCGCGCCCCCTCTCCTGCCTGCGCCCGCCTGCACCCAGGCTGCCAGCAACAGATGCCGGGATTCACAGCGGGACTGGAAATCAGGTCAGCGATCGCCTGCAGCAGATTTTAACATTTATCATCCTGGCTGCTCTGCTGCAAGGCTCTTATGCAAGCCAGCGCGGCCACAGGGCCGCCCCCAGCCAGGTGCACCCCCAGTCCCCTGGCATCCTTCCCTCCTCTACCCCCAACCTGAGAGGGGAGAGCAGAAGCGCAGGGCTCCGGCAGGAGGAAAGCCGGGAATGAGCAGCCCCCAGGGAGCTGAGCCGAGCACAAGCAGCCCTTGGCCACCCCCCAGGACATCACCCCGAGCTGGCCGAGCTGGGCAGCGTCCCACGCCCGAGCTGTGCCGATGCGAGGTTTGGAGGGGGCTGTGCCTGGCAGTTGGCAGCACCCCCAGATCCTCTCTGCTGCTGCCCCGCATCACCCATATGTCGGCGCTGTCAGCAGCCGTGAGCTCTGCCAAGGCGTGCGGGGCTGAGAGGAGCCCCCAGTGCCAGCCCCCCCAGCAGGGCCCTGTGCCCCCGCCAGCCCCAATGCTGCTGGAACTCACAATTAAAGCCCCCAGCCCCCAGGGCCGTGCTGGCTCACAGCCACAGCCCTTCCTTTGCCCCATCCTTGCTCCATCCACCCGGCAGAGCTGTCACGCACCCAGAAACTGGGGCCCTTCCCTCAGGCTGGAGAGGGCATCAGCATCCCGCACATGCTGTGGCCTCTTCCACCCCACTGCTCCTGGGATTTGGGAGCAGCTCCAGCATCCTCAGCCTACCTCCCCTACTCCAGGCACTGCAGCCACAGGGCCCAAACACCACTCGGGAGATCCCACAGAAGGATGCGAGAGAGCAGCCAGCCACACGGCAGGGGGGGGCTATTTCCAGCAAAATAAAACCCTGTCTGCCTGCAGCCAGAAGGCAGGAGGTGGCTCCGGCTGGCTGTGGGCACAGCTTCAGGGGGGGCTGCAGCACCTGGTGCCCCCCGGCTGTGGGGGTGAGGCCAGTAGCTCCGATCCCCCAGGCCTGGCACTGCCCCTGCCCCACCACGGCGGGTTAATGGGATGCCAGCTCAGCGCAAACAGAGGGAAAGCAGGTGACATTTACCTAGCAAACTAATTGATATCCAAGTAATTTGCGGGAGAAACCTCGTTACGCACCAGCTGGATTCCCCAAACCCTCCCAACCCCGCTCATTACAAACAAGGTTTGTGTGTTAATCAGGGAGCTTTAATCGCATTGCTACCCACTGTAATTTTGAGCAACCTACAAAGCTCCCAGATTTATCACAGGCTTTCAGATCCTAAGCACTCTCTAAAGAATTTGTTTGATATTTTATTAGCTGGCATTAATGCTCTTCACGAAGATGACGGACGTTTCTCTTTCAAGCAGCGACGTGGGAGCAGAGCAGGCTCACGGCGCGACCTCTCCTCCCTTTCATCTCCTTCCCCAGCCTGTGGCGGGGCAGGCGTGCAGCCCTCCCTCCAGACGTGCCACTGCCCCGGTTAATCACATCCCTGGACCCGGCATGCAGAAGGAGCTGGTTCCACACAGGAGAAATTGCTCCAGACAAAACATCAGCCAGGAGCTGCTCGCCCCCCGGCAGAGCTGCCCACGCCAGGCAGGGTGAGAGGCAACGTCCCTGCGCTCACCAGGGGCCTCCCATGCACGAGGCTCTCAGGAGCGCTCAGTGAAAACAACATCAAACCCAGAAAAATCAGTGCACCGGCTCACAGGCAGCAGCGGAGTGCGAACAGCTGGGGGTTCGCAGGCAGAGGCACAACAAGCCAAGCAGCGAGTCCAAGAAAAGCAAGAAAAAGCATGTTCCTAAGGAAACATTCCGCACCGAGCCCTTGTGTTGGGAACTAAACCAAGAATTATTTACAGGCGGATCGTGCGGCCTTCAAGCTCGTGTTCCTGAAGCGAGATGCTCAGGCCTCCAGAAGGGGCAGGTGCACGCAGAGCACAAAGGGGAGCCGGCACCTGGGGGCCCTGCACAGGCCCCGTGCTCCTTCTGCCTGCCCCTGGCCCCCCTCCACTGCCGCCCCCAGGGGGGCTCTGCCTGGACGCCAGCCCCTGCCTCAAGAACGACGGACGCGTGCTGCACAAGCTGCTCCATCACCCTCACCATGCAGCTGATAATCACCTCATCTGCTATCAGTTCGGATGTCAAGAGAAATTCCACTCATTTGCTTTTAATATGGCCTTGACATAAAGGCAGGGGTGATGTTACCAGTTTACAGCTGGGCCCTGGTTTTGGGAAGCATGAGGACAATCGCCCCTCCTAGATCTACCTGACCAGCATAAGTTGGAGGGGAAGAGCAATGAGGACTGAGAGGGGGAGAGGAAATCCTTAAAATCCACTTTCCCTGTCCTCAGTGCTCACTCCTCTGGAGTACAAGCCTTGAGTCAGCAGAGCTCAGTCCCTGCAGCACTCGCGGTGCAGGCAGCATCCAGCCTACCACCAGCTCCAGACACGGAGGTGGGAATTCATCTCACCCAGCCTCAGACATCTGCGGCTGAGTTACTCATCTCAACTCCCTCGATAATCAGAGGAGAAGCACAGACCTGCATCCTAAAGCGTCCCCTCTCCCTTACCAAGGGATCCCAGGTATGCTGCGTATGAGGTGGACATCTACAGACCGGGAAGGAAGATCTCCCAAAAAAACAAATCCAAAGGCACTGTAGCAGAGCAAGTCATCCAGCATCTGCCTTCCACCTCTCCTCATATCCCCAGGGCACAAAGCAAGCTGTAAAACACATGCCCGTAAGAGCTCTCGGGAGGCAGGTGAGAGGCTCCTACCTGGAAGGAGCCAGCGCCAGATTCTTCTGAACCAACACCAGGTTCAGAAGGGGAATGGGTTTGCTTTAGTTAGTTAGCTCAGCTCAACTTTGCCCAGGAAAGCTCTAAAGCAGCCTTTGAGCTGCCTCTAACCGTGTGCAGGGCTGAGCCCGAGCCGCAGAAGCCAAGCCTGCGGGCAGGAGGCTCTGTGCAGGGTGGCTCAGCTTTAATTAAGCCCGCTCAGGCTGTGCCTGGTGGCGAGCGTAAGGACACCAGCCAGAAAGGGATCTCCAACACGAGTCTCAGCAGGGCGAGCAGCTCCCTCCAGCCTCCCCCTGCTTAGTGAAGCCCAGGAACAGCCCTGGTTTCAATTTCCAGCCAAAGGAGCCAGCGCAGCAGCTGGGGACCACGGGGGACACGGAGCCTGCTCCCCACGGCATGGTTTGGGAAGCCACCTGGCCACATGCCCAGCACCGGAGGGGAATCGGCCAGGCAGAGCCAAACGTTCCTGGGAACAGGCAGCTCTGTGAGGCTTTCCTGCTCACACCTCCGCTCCCTGCAGCGTGTCCTCCTGCAGAGGGACTGGGCTCGCTCCATACCCTCAGCACAGCTCCAGCAGGAATCACGGCTCCAGCAGGAATCACAGCTCCAGCAGGAATCACAGCTCCAGCAGGAATCACAGCTCCAGCAGGAGTGGCTGCGCAGAGCTGTCTGGGTGCCACGTTCCTCCGGGAGCACAGCAGGTTCTTGCTGTGGATGGAGTTATCAGCCCTGCTGACCAATTCTGCCCCAGCTCGCGGTCCCTGCTCGCCGCCTGGGAGGGATGGCAGCACAGCCACGTCCCTGCCTGCAGAGCCAGCACTGGGGTTCGCAGCACACAGCCAGCCCAGCTGCTGCTGTTTTGCAGCTCCAGCCCAATGCCCTGCTCACCAACAGCACCGAGAAGACACCAAGCAACGGGACCCACTTGGAGGCTCACGACCAGTTACATACAAATGTTAAAGAGAAAAGTGCCTTTGGAGATAACAAGCCAGGCTTTGTACCAAGTCACTAATAGATCATTGAGAACTCAAGAACAAGTACTTAACATCCAAAAAAAAAAAGCTAATTTTTTCAGCAGAGTTAAAGAAGAGATATGTATGAGTTTACACAGCAAGGACACTCAAGCTCTGGTCTCTGAGTTTCCATTAAGAGGAGGTTTCATGCATTACAAAGCGATTTTCCCTTCCCTGGTTTATAAGCCAATTAGATAAAGACCAAGTTAATCCCTTATTGTGTTCAGAGAGCCTCAAGTAGACACCAAACACAGGGATTAGTCAATTTGTTTAACCGACTCCCCAGGTCCCAGCCGCTAAGAGAGCATCGCGCATCGCAGGGGGCTCCCCAAATCCAGCAGAGCCCTCAGCCACGGGCCTCCAGCCTCACCACGTCCACAAGGCCCCCTCCCCACCACGGCAGCCCCCAAAGCCATGAAGTTGAGACGACTCCGACCCAAAGCAGTCAGATTTCAGAGAAGTTACCTCAGGACACGACGAGTGTAGAGCCATCCATCCATGCTGGGGCTGCTGTGATAGCTTGGGGTGCCCTGTGGCTCCTTCCATGTTCTGCTCCCGGGCAGACCCCTTGTACTTGCACCCCTCCAGGCTGCCCCTGGCACGGCTGATCTGAGGGCACTGAGCCCACCCCAGCGAGCCTGCAGGCAGAGCGGTGTGACCCCAAACGGGGGATGAGCCCAGGGTGGTCCCAGCTGCTGTGGTACCCAGCACGGGCAGGCTGCTCCCCGCACCAGGCCGTGGCAATCGGCAGCAAGAGAGCGATTTCTTTGGTGGCCGGCCCCTGGGATCTCAGGCACAGCCATTCCCTGGTTCTTGGCATGTCAGCTGGGCCTAAATCCCTGCCAGGCCTTGCAAGACCCTGCTGCTGGGGTCTGTGGAAATTTCTGCCTCACACATGGTTGGAAGGAGAAATGGACAAACCGCTTGCTGCTGGCAGAGGCCCAGGGGCTTGCGTGGAGAGCTGGGAACGGCCCTGACCAGTTCCTCCCCCAGAGAACTCCCTAATTAACACCCCCACCCCTCCCAGATGCAGGGGGGTGGCAGGGCTGCCTCCAGGTAATGATTTTGGCTGGCAGCGTGTGGACACAGGCAGTGGGGGGCTCCCACCCCACCAGGCCCCTGCCTGCTGGCAGCTGTGTGCAGCAAGCGCTTTCTCGTTAAGACAGATTGGTTTTGCTGCTGCTAATTACACTGCTCGTGCTCCTCCCTCACAAGAGGATCCAGTAAGGCCTAACGGCAAGACATGGCCAGGCCCCAGCTCCTCCCCATCCCACCTTTGAAGGGTGTTTTGGCTGGGTCAGGGGAGCTCTCTGATAGCTCCAGGCATCCTTGCAAGGCATTGGGAGGCCAAGCGAGGCGGGGAGGCTGCTCCCAGGGCACTCGGTTATTCCACTTGTTTCTCAAGCTGGCATCAGCTTGTCAGGAAGCTCTGCCTCCACACTGCTCCCTCAGGATGGGCGGATGGTGGCATTGAAGGGGCATCGCCTCTGTGGTGCTGGGAGCAACACGAGAGCAGTGCCCTCGTCCCACCAGCTGGGAAGGATTGCCCCCCAGATGCTGCTCCTCTGCCCCCTGCCAAAGTTGGGGTCAGACACAGCACCAAATGCTTCCTCTCACCCCTCCCCGCTGGGCACAGGGATCCCTCTGATCCTACACACACCACGGGGATCAAAGGAGCAGTTTCGCTGTGTCTTTTTCTTCCCTTCACGGTCTCTGTCCACCCACGTAACAAACTCCCATGTGAAAAAGGCTTTGAGGCTTCCCAGGAGACAGCACGCTCCTTCTCAAGGTTTGGAAACTTCAGCTGCTTGTGTCTTTCAAACACATGAATCAGCACGGTTTTTTGTTGTGTTTTTTTTTTTGGGGGGTGGGTGGCTGAAGGGACCAGAACCCTGTCAGAGACTGAGTGCTGCTAATCCCCCTTTTCAACACTCCTGGGGACCGGTCCAACAGAGCTCCCCAAAGCAGGCCCTGGGGCTGCCCAGCCCATTACCTCCCCCCTTTTTCCCACCCAGGTTAGAGGTGACTCAGGTGTACTCTGATCTAGCAGAAGCTGCACAGATGTGCCACACAGGCTGAATGTCCTCTGTCCCCAGAACAACACTGAGACGGAGGTGGAGGTGAGACACAAGCAACAAAAGCTGCAAGATGAATTTATGCAAAAGCAAAGTGCTCAGCAGCATTTAACACCAACCACAGGAGTCCTGACCCTGAGCAGCCCCAGGAAAATGGCCTTTTTTCTCTTTAGGCTGGAATCTCACGCAGGCATGGTTTTCTACATCCACATACCACAGTTTTGGCCGTGTTCAAGTGCTGATGTACTTGCTCCTATTGTTCTTCAGAAACGGTCAAGAATAAACTGCTGAATACAACCAAGAACCCACACCTCTGGAGGAAAAGCTTTAGCCTGGCAAATTGGACTAGGCCAGCTGTATTGATCCAGGGATAGAAGCTGTTTGTTCTGTGCTCTGCTGTTAATGCAAAGCTTCACAAAGGGCTTAACTGGTGGGTGCTGGTCCAAGCGTGCTGGCCACAGAGAGCTTTCCCTCCTGACCTGACATGAGTGCTCCTGGTCCACTCAGGCTGCTAAAATCCAGGCTGGGGATCTGGCCACCCTGACTGATTTGTGTATGAGAAACTCTCCGTTCCCCCGAGACGGTCTTTTCTTCGGGAAGCGCTGGTCTGCACCGTGAGCCCTGTCTCAGGCACTGTGGGGAGGCTCACAGTAACACCAAGCAAGTCTGCGTCTCATAATGCCCTTGTGTCTGAATTGTGTTTCAGCAGCAATGCAGAGCAATCTCACAGCACGACCAGCAACACTCGAGCACCATGTGCCCAGCACAAACAATGATTCGCACACAGCCACCAAGGTCTGGTACTGCTGCATAGATAGCACGGAGGCAGCAGGCACGCAGAAGCCACTGACACCAAACAGACAGAAAGCTTCTCAGGTACTGGAGCTCAGACCTCCAAGCCTCTTCCAAAATATACACCAGACTGTTGGCTCCGTCCCCTCCCTCGTGAGTCACACGCCCACCCGAAACACAGAGTCCTCTGCCCGTCTGTCAGGACCAGCCGGAGCTGCACACTGGGCTTCTGTTCCCCAGAGACGTGCAAAGTGAGGGTGAGAGAACAGGCTGCAGGGACTGGGTGGAAGCTGTTCCAAAAATGTCAGGAAGGGAAGTCCCTGTCCCAGAGGAGTGGTGGGAGCCAAAGGCCAGCTCTGGAGCTTGATAGTAACTACGTTAAGTGCCACAGCATTGGCTTGTAAATCACCTCCTGCAACTACCTGAGTACTCAAGGAAGTTGTAGAAAAATTACAAGTGAAAGTATGTATTTACAATGCTTCAAAACAGACCATGAGAAATATGCTCTAAACACCGAGCAACATCCTTAACAGAGGCTGGTTTTCCTGTCTACCAGAGGAGTGCACAGTGGCTGGTGTTGTCCCGACCAACACAGTCTTGTGTTGCTCTGCCCATGGGTGGCACGCAGCTGCTGCACTCTGCAGAACCACAGTCTTGCATTCAGTGAAGAAGGGGCCCTGCAGTTGCTTCTGGCATGAGATTAATCATCCACTTCAGCCTTCTCTTCTCTGCAAGGAGCAAAAACCAGGAAGGATTACAGACTTGAAATAAATAAATAAATAAATAAATAAAACCAAAAAGACCAACTACGATGTCACATAAATGGGATGACTTTGGTGTTTCTGCTTTGTGTAAGTCAGCATCAGCATGAAGCACCAGCACAAATGGGGGACATGCTGCCTGGAACTGCACGGGGCTATCCCCCAATAACCTGGCCACAATGTGCAACACTGCTACAAGAACAGCCCCATCTTTTGTTTCTGGATGCATTTTTCAGGATACAGGAGTTGAGCAGAGCACGATGAGTTTCACTGGCCAAGTGTCCTAACGAATCTGTAAGAGCTGCCTCGAGTCAGCGCAAGCAATCCCTGACTGCTGCCACCAGCAACCTTCATTCTTCGCTCTTTCTGGTCCAGCATGACCCTCAGAGCAGAGCGGGTTTTGAGTACTGACACACTTCATTCGTCCTGAAGGAGCTCTTCAGGCAGTGCTATCTGCTACCTGTCCAACCTGGTATCAGTGTGGGTCTGAGGGAACTCAACAACAAACTCCCATGAACAGTGCTGAAAAGGCAGCGCAGCCTTTCCATGACATGAGGAACTCCTACGCGCCAGTGGACTTGCCATGGATTTGTACCGTTTAAGAGCAGCCATTGGCCCACATTATGTAAGAGTGGGGCAGCCTGACCCTCCCCTCGTCTTCTGGGAACAGAAACCAGCTCCCTGCAGGATATTTCTGTTCACCCTCATGTCACACCTGTGGGCGTTAGTTCTTTGCTTATCACGGGCGCCGGAAACAGATCAAATCCCCAGTGACCTTCCCCAGCCTAGGACACGGTGCTCTGCAGAAAAAACGTGTGAAGTAGCATGGCTACAACCACCAGAAATCACCCTTTATGGAGGCAACGGGTCCTGATGTCACTTCAGCTCACCTTGTTACCCTGGCCTGTCCCTTTAATGCCATTACTGAAGATCATTACATGAGCAGATCCCATTTGGAGAGGCAGCTGCTCGGGCTGCCCACACACCTACCTCTCTGGCCCAGAAGACGGGACCTTCACTGGTGAGCACATCTGCTTCCGAATATACTCCCTCGATCTAATGTCAGCCTGGAATAAAGGAGGAAAATGAGCAAAAAGGGATTGTTCAGCCTGTTTGGTGTCTCCCCACAGTTGTCTCAGTATGCCCCTGCACATCCTAATGCCAGTGCATCATAACTAGCCCTTCTGTGACTGCCTGGCAAAAAGCAACCTGTGTGCTTCTGTCCTTGGTTGGTTTTGTGCCTCACTGGAAGCTGCTAGGGAGGGTAAAGACTTGAGACAGAGAAATAGAGGGTCCTGGACTGAGCAGGACCCTTCCTGTCTGCCCCTTCACTTCTCAGAGGAGCAAGGAGGTGCTGCTGAGCATGCAGGAGACACTGGGTTCAGACAGCTCCTGCCAGCCCACGCCTAAGGTCTGCTCAGCTCTCTCCCTACCACAAGCATGGCAGGAAGAACAGCCAGAGCAGGAACCAGACTGAGCTTCCTCAGTAAATCCCTACTGCAGCTCAGTGAGTGCAGTCATCCCTCACCAAAAGCCTCTCCAAGCCCCAAGGGATGCATTAGCACGGGTTTCCAGCTCACACTGCAGTGAGCCTTCCTGCAGCAAGCACTGACCCAGCAGGAAACCCTCACCTTCCACCTACACTGAACAGCTCCTAAGATGCCCTCCTGGTCATCCAGGGATGTGGCAGGCCAGCAAGAATTTCCAGAGGTTAAGTAAGAATTGTTCACTAGCAAAGGGAGAGTTGCTGAGGTGATGGGCTGCTTTCCATTGTGTCTTGTCTCTGCGCCAGAGCTGCAACTCCACTTTCATGAGCCCTGGCAGGAGAGCCAGGCTGAAGGAGACATAGGAGACTGAGAGTGCTCTGGTGTTTTCATCCTGTGAACCAACCTAAATGTCTTCTTCCACGTGCAGGCACCTCTGAATGCAATGCAGGAAATTGTAACGAGCAGCCTGGCTCCTCCATGGGCCTTTTCCAGCAATAGCTTGGAACCTGGAGTCCAAGCCCACCGATGAGAGATGGAATAGACTTGATAAAAATTTAAGAGCATGATCTCATCAAAAGTTAGGGAAATATTGGAGCATTTTATTGACTTGTCCTGGGGCTGCAGAATGCCTCACGGACTCTGCTGCAATGACCTTCTCTGTCTACACAGTGAAAGAGAAGCTGTGTCCTGGGACTACGCTAACAGGGACTCCCGCTGGCATTTCAGGCAGGTCAGGCTGCAGCCTTCAGGCTCAGAGCATTCCAAGATCATCCATGGTCTTTACAGCTGTGACACTGTGATGTTCCCAAAGAATTAGCTTTTCTGGTCACTACTCAGCTGAGAAATGTGGCTGTCCCCTCCACAGAAAACTGTAAATTAACAGGGGGAACAAGGCTATAGAGAGGGCTGTAAAGAGTTGGGAATATAGCAATACAGCAGGCAAGTTGTCAAGATGACACGGCATGAAGAGAAGCTGGCACTGCCCATTCTTGTACCCATCCCTTTCCTTCCTCTGTTCCAGCAGTTGTATCACGAAGCAACAGATGGAGCAGCACACCACTTGTCTGCTGCATATCCTTTTCCCTAGGCATGAGCTTGGCTCATCCTGCCTTTGCGCCTGGTGGGCTGGCTGTGTGATGGTAATTACGGGGCTAAAGCAGGTAAAAACATCCTGTAAAAGCAAACAGAGACGAGGCACAAGCACACTCTTGGCTCCACCACTTCTTGGCAGCAGATGCAAGGCAAGTGCCTGACACACCTTTGACACTGTCCTAGCTTGTGAGACCAAAAGCAAGGCTGCCAAGGAGGACAACAGGAGCAGTTCACACACCAGACCGCATCAGTGCTATGTGCTCTGCTTTCCAGTACCACCCCTCTTGGTGCCACAGATGAAAGATGTAACATTGATACTCTACCGAATTCATGGTTTCATGGTTTACTGCCCTCTTCCTTGAAGTTGACCTCAGATCCACCACCAAACCTCATCAAGCCCCTCCTCAAGGATCCAGTTCCTCCTTTCCATTTCTGATGCAGTCTCCTGTGACATGAACCCCCTGAGCTCACCTGGAGAACCAGACTGCTGTGTCTTACCAGCAGTGCAAGACAGCACGTGGTCAGAGCTGGGCAAGAACACCGAGAGAAATCCCAAGAGCTATAGAAAGTGTTGCTGAACATTTAGAAAATGTTGTTGAACATTTACTGCATGTTCTTGTTGCCTTCAAGTATTACTGCTCAGCTTTCCAGTGCTACTCCATATCAGTGGAAGACTCTTGGATGCCAATACAAGCACCCGGATCCTAGTTTCTTGGTAACTTTGATTTTAACATTCCCTCAACGTTGTTTTTTTTCTTTTTCAGAAACTTCATTTCTCAAAAACACTGCTAGCCTGTGACATTTTAGAACAGCCGCTGTGCCCCATCTCAAAGACAGAGCATCTCTCCCCACTTAAAAAGCAGTCTGTGACCTTCCCAGCTGGAAAAGCTTCACAGAAAATGATGATCATGCTAATAAAGTGGGTTAGCGCATCCCCAGTGGCTGTCCTTGAAGCATTTTCTACTCTCATCACTATGCTATACTTCTGAAGAGTCTCTCCCATGCCCCAACGAGCTCCCCATCCTTCCCTCCCTGCAGCTCCCAGTCAGGCGTCTCAGGTGGAGACTCTGCCAGCTTACTGCTGGAAATGCAGCTCCACAACCGCTTAACAAATCTGCAAGCTCGAGAATGAAAAATGGTTACATAAGGAGTGGTTTGTTTGGGAGATTTTTTTCCCTTCTCTCTATAATTGGACAGTTTCATAACTGAACTGACAAATAACTTTGATCACTCTTCAGGATAAGAGATTACGTGATGTATTTTATAACGAGGGAAAGAGGTTGTTCAATAAGAGTTCCTACTGGGAGACCAAGGTAGCAAAAGTCAGATCTACAAACTATTTTTCTAGGGAAGAAAACCCCCTGAATTCATTCTACTGATAACATAAGCTAATGCTTGATTAGGTGGCAAGTTACTGGCCAGTCCTCACTCCTAACACAGTGCTGAGAGACAGCTTAACCCAGCGCATTAACCAAGAGGCTAATCAATAAGATGGATAACTGTCCCGTAATAATCCTCACAGATTGTTTCTATTTTCAGCAGGGACTAGTGTTGGCATTACGGTCTGGAATTGTTGCTTTGCCTATTTTATGAGGGGCAGTGGTGATCAGCAAGCTTGTATTGGGGGGCTACATCTCAGGGGAGTAAGAATTTCAGGTTATCAGCGACTGATTTCCCTGCAGGGCACCAGGAGCTGTTCACACAGAGAAGAGGGATGATGGCTTATTTTTCAGTTTTGCGTTAGTAAGTATTTAATACTGCACATGATGTGACCTGCAGAAATTCACAGCTGTGGTCAGGCTGATTTCTGTCCTCCTTGGTGGGCTGGAGTAACATCAGGCTGCCCCATCAGCCACATCCTGAGCCAGCAGGAACCAGCTGGGCAGGACGCCAGCTGGAGCTAAAAGGATCATCAAGTGAGCTGGAGGCTGGTGTGCAGCCAGCCAGGAAGCTGAGGAAGCAAGAGCAGAAGAATCTGTCCCAGAGCAATCCTCATCAGGTGGAGTCTTAAAAGCTTCTGATTCCACACTGTGCATTGTGGATCCTGGGTCTGAGCAGGCTCGGAGCGTGGGCAAACACTGGAGAGGGCTTCTGACCTCTGCCAGAATTTGGCAAGAGCAGTTGCCCTCAGGAGGGCTTGCTGTTGGTTCCAGTGCCATGCAGTTTAAATGCTTTGTTTTTTTTTTTGTTTTTTTTCTGGGGTGACAGCTTCTGCCTATCTCAATACCCTTGTCTGGTTAGCTTGAAAGGACCAAGTCTGCCTCAAAACCTCACCAGCTGGCTGGGTGGAGGGATCGCCCCTCTGCAAATGGTATTCTCTCAGCTCAGCCTTGCACATGGAGGAAGTACAAAACAGAAGTAAATACGTACATAGGTGACAATGAACTTCCCTCTGCTTTCTCTGAAAGATCACCCCTCTCACCTGCATCACAGCCACAGCTCCTTTGGCAACACAACCACGTTGTGGGCTGAATGCAAATCCAACTGCTTCTGATTGCTGTGAAGATGCAGTTTCATGCCCAAGAAGCACAACACACCCTATACAGACCGGCCAGCCATAACCCTCAGAAAGTGAAAGGTTTAAGTTCCCACAACAGTCAGCAGTATTCCACATGCTGCAGCGCAGCACTGTGTTCATCCAAGCTGTGAACACAGCCTCAAAAAGGTCCTGCCAGCTGAGCTGTCTGGAGAGCATTACACTTCTAGGGCTACCAGAACTTACCAGCTAAGGGCTATGATTCCAGAAGTCTTTCCCTGGACACTGGGAAAGCTGTAAGCACATCACCCACCAGATCTGCAAGCCTGCTGTGGAGAGTTCCCATAGCAAAAAGATCAAGGAATTCACGCAAGCCAGAACTCCCCACTGCCCTGCATCAAGATCTCTAACAGTTACCACACAAAAGTGTGTAAAAGTCCCATGGAAAGGTTTACACACCTTTACCTCCTGCCACTCCTCTGCCTCTACAGTAAACACACCCCCTTCTCAATTTCTAGCCTCTCCATAAGGAACGTGACAACACCTCATTCCATCACTTTAAACAGAGGTCACAGAGGATTGGAGGAGTCTTGGAACATAGACAAACACTGGAGAAAGCTGGAAATGAAATGAAGGTGATGAAAACCTCCAAGACACCTTTTTGTTTCCAAAGGGAATGCTTTTCCCCTTTCCTCTGAGCATGCCGAACTGCAGAGCTAGCTTACAGCTCTGCGGAGGCATCTGTCCCTTGCTGGAAGAGGTTACATAAGAAGATCTATCAGCCTACTCCCGTCTGGCAGGTAGTGGTTTATGAGATCAGAAACTCCAGTTCTGGAATGCACACTTCAAGGTTTGTTTTGCTTTAAGGTGTTGGGTTTTTGTCTGTTTTATAACTCGATACTCTGCTTTCGGAAAACACTGCAGTGCCAAGGAGAAGACCCTGTGTGCAGAGACTGCGTAACAGCCCTCAGCAGGATCTGCTCAGTGCTGCTCTGAGGAGCTGCAGAGCAAAGGTGGCCAGACACCTGACAAGCACGGAGGTGTAGCAACTTGAACTGCGTGTTCCAGGGCAACGTTACAAACAGGGACATCTGAAGAGGCCCCGCTCCCTGAGCAGCCGCTGGGTCAGGCCCACCTGAGCCGCTACCAGCAGGGTGACCCTGAGAAGGGAAGCACTTGTCAGGCTAGAAGTCCCAGAGGCTTTACGCTTCTCCAGATCCCTTTCTCAAGCCCTGCTGTGATTTAATTAGTCTGAAGCAGAGCCTTGGTGGCAGCTGCGGCTCACTGAATGCGATCCAGTGCTGTCACCTACTGGCTGCCTGCTGTCCCAGAGCCCGCAGTTCCTTGTGGAGTGCGGTAGCGAGGAAAAGCCCAGAGGAACAGCACTGCAGTCTGTGCTAGGCTCAAAGCACCAGGAAAGCTGCGTTTCCAGCTCCTCTGTATTAACAGCAGCATCACAGAAGTTGCCTGCAGAGAGGAACCAAGAAATCTGTCAAGCGAGGTCTGCAGTGAGGGTTGTGTGCACTTCTCAGCACTGCGTCAGAAGAACAAGCAAAGAAGAAAGAAGGATGATCACTTCACCACCACATAAACAGCAGTACGACAGGCTGGGGAGGACAGGCCAGCGAGAAGGGTGCCCACTGCAGAATTGTGACAGATGGGTGGCAAACTGAGGCTCTGAAACATCACCACGGGCTTGGCACCCACAGCTATCATGTCCCCTGCTACCTACCTGCCTGCCTGGCTCCCCTACCCCCAGGTGTGCACTCCCCTTCCTCAGCTCCCCTGCTTCTGTACCTGGCGGATGGGCTCCGGGATCCGGTACCTGCAGCAGGACTGGACGAGGCGCACGGCTGTCTCCAGGCTCACCCTGTGGCCCACAGAGATATAAAGGGGCTTAGAGCTGTTGCAGCTACGCAGGGCCTGTGCATTCAGAAACAAGAGAGATCAAATACTTAAGAGGCTTATTTCAAACAAATACAACGTGGCAGATGAATTCTAAGCCAGCCAGTTGTCTTCAGAGGGTGGGCTGGTGGGTCTGTACTTGCTAACTCCCAACCTCCTTGATCCTCTGCTTCACAGTTATCTCCTCGCAGGGACTGTTTGCCCTTTTGGACACCCGTGACCCTTCCCCAGATGCCCCACACAGCTCTGGGAAGCACTGAGACTTGCTAATACAGACTACATTAACGTAACACCAGATGAAGGAAGTTTCTTACACCTGCCCATTTTCTGTGCAGCACTCTTCTAAGTCAAACGCTTTTGTACTGCATCCTGGTAAGCTGCTACAGAAGTGGCACCTCTCCTCGACCGTGGTTCATGAACAGGGTGCCATAGCCACGTGCATGAATATACCCAACACCTGAACCACCAACTCTTTCCACTGACGTCTGAGCTGACAGAAAAGGGGAATTGGTGCTACTGGTCACCTGTTCAGACCTCGTCTTCCTGAACTAACGTCACCAAGACCAGTCCCACTACAGCGACAACATCCTCCAGTGCTCAGTTACACGAAGCTGGAAGACCTGATGGCCAAGCAGAACTCCCTGCAGCTTACCATACCAAGGACACTCCCTGAAGTGCCTGTCAGTGGGAATGTATCTCCTTCCCTCTGCAAGGAACGAATCTAGGGCACAAAAACAGTCAGTTGGTGAGAAATTACTTGAATGTGACTGTGCTAATTGTCTAGGGATATTAAAGAGTGGAAACAATTCCCAACCTAGCCTCACCTGCTCTCTGTGCAGCTCATCCCTGGCCAAGCCATCCACCTGCAGGAGGTTCTTGGCCACTCCAATGCATGGTAGATCTGTCAGGACTCCCAGGTGACAGGCCACACCAAACCCTGTCAGCAACAAGGCGCTGTAACTGCAGGACACCAGACAGGAACCTCAAGTGGCAGCACGGGGAGAGCAGGGCTCTCCAGGGCAGTCCTACCTCTGTGATGGAGCAGGCCATTCCCATCTACAAGAAGCACCTGAAAAGAAAAAAACTCATTATTTTCTGTGCACTGAGAGCCTCCAATATGCAGCGATGCTAGCCCTCTGAGGAAGGAGAAGTGTCTCACTACTTTTACTCCTCCACATAAGGATCTTCCTTCCTTCAGTGCTGCTTACATATGACTTTAAATGACCAGTGTCCCACAGCTACAAGCTCTTAGTGGCTGGCAGCACTCTTCACTGGTGCTACACACAGAATAGCATCCCTGGTCCCCGAAAGAAGTGGAATAGCTGCCTCAATAAGACTTCAACACTGTGCTTTCTGCTCTGCCAGCAGAAAACCGCTAGCAGTACTCTGAGCCCTTGTGACTTTTCAACTTAGGACAAAGAAATAAGCCACACCTGAGGTTTGAGCCCGGGCTCCTCCTGCTGAAGTCTCTGAACAGCTTCCACCAGGAAAGGGACCTCTCGGAAGGCCAAGAATCCTGCCACATACGGGGCACTCACGGCCACCATCCGGCAGTCCTCATACAGCACCTAGGAGTACAGTGGGACAGCACAGAGACAGTGACCTCCAGGACTTCTCTGGGTAGCTCCTGGCTCTTTCAGACATCTCTTCTAGTTTATGTCCTTTACTCTTTTTTGTTGTTGTCATTTTCCACATACTTTGCTTCTGGACCTCTCCTACAAAGCTAAGGGCATTGGGTTGTGTCAGTCCATTAGAGAAAGGGGTGGATAACGGACGACGGCCAGACATCACCCTACCATACCCTGCTTGAGAGTGAAGTCCTGGAAAGAAATGAGAGTGGCTATTCACATACACAGCAGGGACCCCAAAGCTCACACAAATCGTTATCAAATGGTGTTTGTGTTAAGGGATGCCAAAAGGAACCCTTTAAGCCAGGACAAAAAGCGTACACACAGTGTAAGTCAAGAATCAAGGAAGGATTTGGAATTCAGTTCATACAAATGCCAGTGGCCAATATCAAACTTTATTTCTGTTTGTTATAGGTTTTAAAGGTAACTTTTACATCATTTTGAAAGTTAGGAAACAGACAAGTAACTTTATTAATGCAAGACAACTGACTATGGAATGTGGAATTTATGGCAGTCTTAGGAATGCTTCTGTAAATCACACCCCGTTATTACGAGTTGATTCCAAGCAAGAACTCACAAAGAGGACAGCTGCTGCTTCTGAGTGCTGCAAATGCTTTAATTTCTTCTCTTGATCGGCAATGAGTAACAACGGTGCTTTGTGCCTCCTGGGTAGTGGCTGACACGGGCTGTTCCTAATACCTACCCAAACCAGCTAAAATCACCTGTGCCTGGCTGCACCCCACGTCTCACCCCTGTATTTTCTGACTTAGTGATGTGAAGACCAAAGCCATCCTCCGGTGCCTCTGAAGCTCCCAGTAACCCCACAAACCTCCTGCAGCTGGGAGCGGTTTGCCTCACGTCTTCCCAGACGCACCTCTAAAACCTCACTTATTTGTTCCTCTCTTTATCTTTTTCTCGCAGAATGCGGGGCGGGAGGCTTCGTGAGGCACACACGGCAACTCGCCGAGGCCCCGCGGGGTGCAGAGAGCGACTTTTTGTGCAAACCTCCCGAGGAAAACCTCCCCCCACCGGCAGGCCCGGGCACCCCCCGCAGCCGGTTGCTCGCCGTTACCTCGAGCCCCGGGTAGCTGAGAACCACGAGGGAAGCGCAGGCCCTCGAGTCGTCGCCTTTGATGTAAGACAAATCCACGCCTCCCACTCTCTGCAGCCCCGCGAAGCTCGGCTCCTTCTGCCACTCCTCGGTGTCCTCCCGCACCACGCCGCCCTTCAGCCGGGCCTGCTCGCTGCCAGAGGAGCGCAGAGCCGGGGGGGGGGTGAGCACCGCCTCCCTCCCGACCCGCAGCCCACCAGGACGCACAAACCCCGGCTCCAGGGGGCAGAGGAGCCTAACGAGCGGCCCCTGGGGGCTGGGCGGGGAAAGGGAGCCCCTTGGTGTCCCGCCCCGAGCGGCAGCGCAGCGAGACCCCACCGCCCCGGCCCAGGCCCTCGGCCTGGGCCTACCCCGCCCCGGAGCCCCCCAGACCCGTAGCCCCTCGCGGTTGCCATGGCCACCGCGGCCCCCCCCCCCCCCACTCCAGGGCGCATGCGCAGGGCGCCCCCCGCGCCGTTACCGTGCCCAGCGGCTGAGGATGGCGGCCGGCGGCGGCCCCGTCATGGCGGCCGGGCGGGGAGGGAGGCGGAGGCGGGAGGAGCTGCAGCGGGGCTTTATTGAGCAGCGGGGAGGGGCCGGCCCGCGGCAAGGAGAAAGGCCGCAGCTTGGGGGGAAGGGGGGTGAGGTGAAGGCAGGGAGGGAGCGGTTCGTTTTGGGGCAGTTTTGGCTTTTTCTCGCTTTCCGCCTCAATCTCGGTGCTCCAGGGGTGCTGTAAAGCTGCAATCCAGGCACCCTTCTCTTTCTACTCTATTCTGCTGCTGCATGGAGGCATCCAAACTTCACCCCGATGGCGTAAAAAGTGGCGTGGGGTGGGAGAGGTAACACACACAACACACAACCAGCACCCTTCAGCCCTGACCTCCCTGAATCTCACTTGTACCCAGTGTTTGAGGCATTAAAATGCTCGGTGTAAGAGGAAAAATCACTCCTGGCCACAGGCAGGCACCACGTTGCCAGTGGCCTTAGCTTTCTCTACGCTCTCTTTTGAAGAGAGCAGCTGCTTTCCAGGTAGCAGTAGCATGGGAGAGGAGAATCTCATCTGGGAATGCATCTTGCAGCTCTGCAGCCAACTCCGACTCTTTTTCATCAAGTAGAGGAAGGAGTGATTCCTTGAGGCTGGAAAGCAGAGAGCAAAGTAGTGTTATTAGGAGGTAATCAAGTCGTCGGGGCCAAGCTTGTGTATGTAGAAAACTAAACATGCTCCTTTGAGTGACTAGGGAAGTGGCTGTGTTTAGCTATCAAGAACAACAACTGCTCTATTTCAGCACCGTTTCCAAAAGCTTGTGTAAGATGCAGAAGAGTCATACACGCCAGAAGCATGGAGGGTGCCCTATAAATAGCCACATATCCTTAATATCAATGCTTGTGCTTTGTGTCCAGCAGAGCAGACATTTGCTAACAGAACTGTTTCCATCACAAGCGTTTTCAAAGAGACAGAGAAGCTTAAGTCAGTAATGACTGTGGGTTGTTCTGGGCTGCAAAAACCCATTACCTCCATAGGGGTCGGAATTCATCCACATTTTTGACACGTTTCAGCTTCAGGATGATCATTTCATGGAGCTCCTGGAGGAATGTTTCAAGCCTTGAGTGAACGAGGTAGGTGTTGAGGAGCTTGTCAATCTCTGGAGTGAGACTAACTTTGTACTGTGCATTGATGTCTACAAAAGGATCCTATAAAATGCAATGAGAAAAAAAAAAAAAGAAAAAAGAACCAAGCATGTTTGAGCAACTTCATCTTAGAGATGAGGAAATACCTGAGCAGACCCTGAGGTTGCCAGTGTATCTTACCCTTTTGATGCGCAGAAGCTGCTCAGATTTGCGGGTAGAGAGAAGTTGCCAAAGGGCTATGCTGTGCTTTAGACGGCATCGTCCGAGGGCCTGAAAGAAAAACAAAGCGTGAAACTGGATGCAAGGAACATATTTTGGAGCCTGTTCATCCCCCTACAGAAGAAGGAACAGAGAGAAGCCCACTAAAACAGAAGCCACGTTAACTGGCAGGGTGACACAGCAACCTGATCGGGTGGGAGATGTCCCTGCCCATGGTAGAGGGGGTTGGAACTAAACGACCCTTAAGGTCCCTTCCCACCCAAACCATTCAACGATTCTATGATGGCACTGATAAACAGTCTTACTATGACAAAGTAGTATATAGAAAAGCTTCATCCAGCAGCTGGGAGTTTATCAAGCCTTTTCAACATGGGCATAAAAGCCTACATGCTTATATCTCCTGATTCCCCATTTTGCCTTCAGTAATCCAGCTTTCTTGGCCATTATGAAAGCTCTGTCATTTTCCCATTCCCTATGTCACACATAGTTGTCATAGCATAGTGCCTTTGCCCCCTATCAGTAAAAAGCCTCTTTTCACACCCCATTAGGAGATAAAACCTTTCCCTACTACCCCTTTTGAGAAGTGCTGTTTTCAGTCCTGTTCAGCACTGGGGTAAACCAGTGTCACTAAAAGCTGGCTCATTATTCAAAGTTTTCCCTTTTCACAGTTTTAGCATTGCAACTAATTATGCTGGCACCCAACTAAGTATTCTCCTTCCTGGTGGTGATGGCAGAAAAGCAGGGATCTGCAGAGAGGAGTTTGACCTTCCACACATCCTCCACTTGACCTTTCTTTAGGGTTTTGCAAGAACCTGCTGAGCATCATGAGCTATTGGATGCTCCCACCTGGTAAACACTGGTTGCAGTGGAAGTGAAAATTGTTTTCTCTCCTGCTGTCAAGTATGGTGGGGAGGAAATTCTAACACATTCTAATTCAGCTTGAATTAGAACTTTTGCTGGGCTTGGAGGTCAAACTGTCAGGATTTAGTATAAACTGGTACAGATATAATCCTTTAAGAATGCAAGCTTTGCTCTCAGGACTCACCTGCAGTACATGAGGGTTTGTCTGATCACCCATCTGCAGAACGTTTGCAATGTAGTCAGTCAGAAACATTTCTGCATTCTCTCCAGCCATGGCCAGGAATCCCAAGGTAATTTCAATGACAGACAGAGCATCACAGACATCACTGTAAGACTGTAGTTCCCCGCTGATTGTGTTCATAACAGAACTGGGAAGAGCACTCTGAAAACCATGAAGTCAAAGCAGTTGCTAGTATTAGTTTAGAACCCTTCCTTACTGCTGCTCAATCTGCAGAAGTCAGGAATGAGGGCATAGCCCTAGATTTAGGAAACTGAAAGTGCTTAACTACATCTCTTTCCTTTGTAAACCCTGACTGACAAAAGACAACCAGTGTGTACATATTCAAGGCATGCTAACAGATCAGCGAGCAAGCCCTCATAGCAGATGAGCAAGGCAAGTGAGAAGATGGGCCTGACACTTCTTGGCGTGTCAGGGGACACATGCCCTGTTTCTCCGGCACAGAAACCCACCTGATCCAGCTTATTCCTGACATCATTAAACAGCTCTTCGTAATTTCGATCATGTCTGTACACGAGGGTAGGTATTCCCTGTCAGGAGAGAAACCCAGGGTTGTAGAACTTCATTGCTAACCCTGCTACAGTGTCTGTTTGGCTGCAGCAAGGACTGCAGGGCTTCAGACACCAGCCAATAAGTTGATAAGCCTGCAGTTCTCTGCAGGGCTCTGACATCGAGTTGTCTGCTAGCTATGTTTCCTAGCTGCCTCGTCCTACCGTTAGGGTGATGAGCGGCTTCCCCTGCAAGAACTTGCTGATGACTTGCTGCTGGATTCTCTCCAGGTCGAAGTGCTGCAATGTCTCCCCACCCTTCTCCATGCTGTACTGGCAGTTGGATAAGATCAGAGGAATCAGGTCTCTCTCAACCTCGTAACTGATCAAGTGCAGGTCAGCTACTTCTGATGGACTGATCAAGTACCTTCAGAAGAGGAAACAAGTTGTCTCCATTTAGAGTGACAAGCCTTTCTGAAGCAGGGAAAGCAGATTGGGAGCAGGTAATACAACAGAGACAAAAAATGCCTGGCTGGAATAGCAACATACCTATCATCTTCTTTGGTATGTTTGTTCACCAAATAGATAAAGTTGTTGTGCAGACTAATGAGATAACTGGCTAAGGCTGTGGAGCAGAGGCCCAGTCCCTGTCGACGTGGCAGAAGGACCTCAAGCGTGCTGTCCATGGTCAAGTCAGCATCACAGTAGCCTTCAGGAAGCTTAATTTCCCCTAAAATAAAAAGCATTAAGATTGCTTGTGGTGTCCCAGAGCTTGCCCCATGATGAATAGCCTCTCTTGAGCCAACCCAGGTCAGGAGAAAGTACAGCAAGATAAATCGACAAAAAGGTCACACTTTCTGTGCCTTGTAGGTGCTAAAGGAAGCATGTTCAGGTGAGTAGGAAACATTCTTCCATTTGCACCTACATCTTTTTAACCTTTAACAGCCAAGGTCAGTTTGGAGGATATTTTCAGCATCTGACAGAAGAAACCTGTACTGTCAGAGGGTACTGAAGGACCCTGTCTGGCAGGGGGCAATCTTTCATTTCCATCACAAAAAACAATGCTGTGAGGGAAGGGTACTCACCATTAGTATCCAGAGATCTTCTCAGCTTGTTCCAGACAGACAGGAACATGTTAACTCTCCTCTGTAACAGGTCCCTCATCACATCTGAGCAATACCAGAAAGAGGAATCCTTGAAATGCCTTTTACTGGCAACACCATGAAACTCAATAATATAAGAATTTTCAAAGCACACCATATAACCTTAGATAACTGTTCAAACAGACCAGAAATGTTTAAATGTACATTAAACAGTTTTCCAACATTATCAAATTGTGTAATTTGCTGCTTGTTTATATCTTCCTTTATTGAGTGCTTTTGGCACACGCTACAAGGCTGCATGGATCCTTGGTCTGCATGACCTTTAAGAAATCTTCCATAAGTACTTCAGAACAGAAGTAATTGCACTTAAGTGCAATTAAAGGAGTTGTCGCCTGTTTCTGACTTAACAGAAGGGCTGGATACCTATTACACATTTTAGGAAGGCCCAACTCTAGAGCACAGCTCAGAAATTCAACATACCCACAGCTGCGTTCAGGGATTTATCTTGCCTATCTCTGAGCAGAGTCCCTACCTCTTGTGCTTAAATTCTCTTAAAACCACTTGAACTTTTTTTTTTTTTAATAAAAACTCTTAACATCAGGGCCTCCAGTATATTTGGATAGGAGTTGAAAGGAAAAATAAGGACTTAAGATTGCGAGTTTAAGAGAAGTTTTCACTTTCATTTTTATCTGCACTATCTAAGCAATCTTTCTAAAGCACTTTTTGTTTCACTAATTTACAGTTTTGGCAGAATCTTCTCACCTGAGCGGGGTTCATTGAGGAAGTCTCTGATCGTGCAGCGCTTGACATCAGCAATGTTCTGAAATTGCCTCACTAATTCTCTCTGAAGAGCCAGAATCTCTGGTAAAGTTTTAACCAACCTCAGTTCTGTTTCCTGGAAGAGGAAAGGGGATTTATGAGTAAAGCTGTCCTTGGACAAACCAGTTTTGAATACTTCTATTGAATTACTTTTCAAATGATTAAAAGAAAAAATACTTTATATATACAGTTCTCAGGATTGAGACTGCAGGAGAGTTGAACCAAACGTACCCAGAGGTCCCTTTCAACCTCAACCAGGTGGTGAGGCACAGAAGCAGGTTGGCCAGACAGGTTTCAGATGCCCCATCCCTGGAGGTGTTCAAAACCAGGATGGATGAGGCCCTGGGCATCCAGATCTAGTGGGTGGCATCCCTGCCCATGGGGAGGGGGTTGGAACTAGATGATCTTTAAGGCCCCTTCCAACCCAAGCCATTCTATGATTCTGTTCTTCTGTGGAGTATTATCTGAACGTTGTGGGGTCTCATCCCTGTATTGCACTCACCTTCTGCAGAAACTTCCACAAGAGAGGGACAGCGTCCTTGGCATTATTTTGCTGGACTATGTGGCCCAGGTTCTCCACTGAAATCCTCTTTCGGCAGCTCCACAT